AGTTCAGACATTTTTTTAAATTTCTTTAAAAATCTATATTATACATACTGCCTTATTGTCAATTTATATTATTATATATTATTCTATATGAGCCCAACATCAATTTAAGCCTTTTATTTCTAATATTTTTATTGTACGTTATATTGTGCTTCCTTTTCTGTTTCGTAATAATTATAATTGTTTCACAATATCTCTGCCTGTATTGGGCTATTTCGTTCCATTAATCTGCACGCAGCTCTTACAGCTATCATATATTTTGTTTTTCTTCATTTACTTGTAGTATCTGCTCTGCCTCTCTTATCAGAGTTTTAGCTAGTTTCTCAATGTTCTCTTGATTACTTCCAAGGACAACTATATCATCTGCTTATCCAAGGATTTCATGATTCATTCCGATGTGGACCCCTCCATATTCCTGTGATGTTGCTGTTATTATCTTCTCTAGGGCTAAGTCAAACAACATCGCTGGTAGTCCATTTCCCTGCCTTAAGCCGTTCGAATTTTGAAGGCTTCAGATACTTAGGACTATACATTTGGATTCATTTGTAGATGCCTTTGACAATCTCACTAATTTAGCGGGAACTCCCAGTTCAGTCATGATTTTCCAAAGACAGCTCCTGTCAATAGAATCATAGGCTGCTTTGAAATCAACAAATAGAGTGTGTACGTCCCAAAATACTCCCCATCGTTTTTCAACTGCTTGGGTTAGGATGAAAATCTGGTCTAGCCTGCTTCTCCACTTACTGAATCCAGCTTGCCTATTATATTCTCGTAATACGGATATATCCGATTTAGTAGGATATTGTTCATTATCTTGTAGGCAACCGGAAGGAGATCTATAGCTCTGTAATTACTAGACACATACCGGAGCATTTCTCTAGGATAGGACAGATCAAGCCCGTATTCCAAGCCTCAGGCATCCTTTCCTCTTCCCATATTTTCTGGATTAGTTGTAGTAGCTTGGCTCTTAAGTCGTCTCCTCCATCTTTAAACAGTTCTGATGGTAGATTGTCTATCCTTGGGGTTTTTCTTGTTTTGAGCCTTTCGATAGCTATTTCTACATCTAATATATCTGGTTTTTCAACCTCTTCTGGGTCAAGGTTCTCAGTGTGGTCCATTCTTTCTTCGTTCGTTGGGTCCATTTGATTGAGAAGTTCCTGGAAATATTCTTTCCAGATGTTCAATATACTTTCTTTAGATGCCGTCAGAATGCCATCTTTTCTTAGCTTTTGCATGTTTCTCGCTTTATATCCTAACGTTTCTTTCCTAACGTCTGCGTTGAATTCGCTTATATCTTCAGCCTGCCAGTTGTCCTTAATGGTTTGCTATATTTCTTTGAGGAATTCCCTTTTTGCTGATCTTTTAGTTTTGTTTGTTTTTTTCTTGGCAACTATGTACTTGTCCATAGCAACTTGATCAGTGGTGGCTAGGCAGAGGATATTCATTTTTCTTCTTTTCTCTACTGCCGTTTCGCATGCTTCTGTGAACCATATCTTCGCTTTTCGTTTCTCCTGAATACCGATCACTTCCTTAGCAATTTCTTTTAGTCCTTTCTCTATTTTCTCCCAGTATTGGTACACTATGAGGCTATCTGAATCCAAGGGTTCGAATTTATTTTTCAGCTTAAGTTGGAATTTGGTTTTTACTTCAGGATTTTTCAAATTACGGACTTCATACCTCCTTTTTTCCACTCAATCCCCTGTTGTGTGAATTCGTTTCAATCTCTGAGATAGTTTAATTCTAATCAGAGTCGTCCAAATCATAGTCTGCTCCACAGTAGCTTCCTACATCTTGTATTGAGCTCTGATGTCTCTTGTCTACCAGCACATGATCAATTTGGGTTTTCGGTCGTTTGGAGTTAACCCAGGCGTACTTATGGATATCCTTGTGTAGGAACATTGTAATGTTGACGACTAGACCATTAGCTGCTGGCAGAGTGATACATCTCACTCCATTGCCATTGCTATTTTCGTGAAGTCTTTTCCCTCCGATATTGGGCCTGAATTGGGGATCGCGTCATATCTTTTCATTAGAGTCACTTATGACTAATTTTATGTCATTACTATGAGGTTGGTCCACAATATTTTCCAAGTGATCGTAGAAATCATCCTTCATCTCTTCATCTTTATCTTCGGTTAGTGCATACACATTAATTATACAAGTGATATTAAACCACTAACGGATCCAGGATTTAATTTTGAGTGGAGGGGATTCAGCCAGAAAGATTTTTTACGATCAATACTTCGGAAGAAAGAAAGAAACTAACTACCCATATGAAATGGTGTGTGATTTTTCAAGTCCTATTAAATGTAATTAGATGAACAATAATACTTTTAGAGATAAATTTTTTCATAAAATTAGTTGTATTTTACTGTTTTGGGGGGCTTCAGCCGGAAAGCTCTCTCCCCCCTTAGATCCGACTGTATATTAAACCAACTACCTTTAACTCGTAATAAACTGACTTATATATTATGCGAATTATTCGCACGGGCCAAATAGTTTTAATTTAATGTAGCAAAATAAATATCTCATTTCGCATTAACACACATTAATGAAACATAAGCGGAAGATTTGGTATCATCATTGAATGATAATAACGATGTGACTACATTGAGATAAGACTATCAACAAGTGGTGCAACCGCGACGTTTAAATATAAATCAAGCTAAACTTCGTCACATTTTTATAATTTATAACGATTCTACATCACATCTAGAATTATTAAACGTCCATAAAATTTATTTATGATTTTTATTAAAATTTAAAACAATTTTTTTAATAAAAAAAAAACATTATCAAGTTGCGCTCAAGTTTTTTTTTTTTTTTTCATGGGCTCAGTTTAAGTCCCACAGTAGCTGACATTTATTTATTCTGGTCTACCAACCGAGGATTGATTTAGCGGTCTATAAAACCTTCTGGGGCACACCCAGCCTCTATAAAATGGTTATATTATTACTTTGAAGTATTTTTTATTTTATTTTTTTTCTGTTGGCATTACAGACCATGTGAATCTATTTCCGCTTTAACAAGCCTGCTGTATCTCTGCCAGTCTTGGTCTATTTTTTCATTAATCTGCACGCAGCTAGTCGATTCTATCTATCCATCTGCTTTTTGGCCTTCCACGTTGTCTTTTGCCTTCTATTGAGGCATCCATTGTTACGTAGCGGCTTCCAGATGGCTACGACCTACATATCCCGCTTATCTTAACCTCCGTGCCTTCATATCATGGGATATTGATTGACCAGTTTTTGTAAGCAGTTTTTTATTTGTCCTTCTTATCCATGTGTTAATACTCTGATCCCAGATCACTCCGGTTATCATGCGGAAGATTTTCTCTCAAATCTTTGAAATAATATATTATATTTCTATAAGTTCACTCCTGTAGCGTTCCCTGGCGTGGGGGGGGGGAGGAGAAGGAGGGTTTGCAGACTGAAGTTACCTCAAACAGAAACATTTTTTTTTATTGGTCCATATTTCTTTCTGTGAGTAATAACCCAGTACCTTATCATGAAAAGGGGATCTAAGTTGCATCGAATGGGTGTTATTCTTAATCTTTGAAAACGTGTATCTCAAAAACTGTACAGAGTTTATTCTGGTCTTAAATTGTAGCAGATTTAGTTTAAAAATGTAAAGATTGTTTTTTGTCGAATACGTGTTCGTTCCTCTATGGTCTAAATTATGAAAAACCGAAAAAAACATAGTCGTTTTGGGGGATACTCAAACATAATCCGGGGGGGTTAGGAGACGTAAGGACACAGGGGTCTTGAAACTTGATTTCTGCATCTCAGTAACATCCCATACAAAAATAAAAGGCACCCTTCTGCCACATTAGGTGCAACTTACGATGTACAAGGTCACTGGACTATAATCTTAGCTAAATGCTTAAACAAACGCTATATGTAATATTTTTAAATTATAATGTATTTTACAGCTTATAAGTATTAAGCAGTCACTAAATATAAGCCCGTGTAAAGACAATAATTATATCTCTAAAAACATTGTTACTCTTGCAATTAAAGTTTTTTATAATCATTAGTTTCTTTCTTTCTCATTCTGAGTGTTGCCATTATAATTATAAAACAGGATCCGCAACTGGTATTATTCATTAATGTTGCAACTAATTATGTCGTTTAATAAGTTACCCTGTTCTGACTCATTTCATTTCCTACTTGCCATTATTCATCTCCTGTATTATATAAAAAAGTTTTTAGTGACTTTCATATTTTATTTTATCATATTATTAGAAGAGCAGAAAATAACAGGTAATATATAACCGATATTATGTATATAACAGAGGTAACAGGAGCTCATTTTCTTAGATTATTATTTTACAAATTATATAGCTCTTCATTTAATTACTTATGTGTAGGAGCTCATATTACCTACTCTCCTAATACAAAATAAAGATTTCAGACCAAAAATTTGTACGAAAAATATGTTCATCTGAAGGAAGTAGTTTAATTTTACCTAGGTGACAGCAGTCATTTTTCGATCTAGACATCTTCCTTGAATAAAATATATTAATTATTCTACTGTATATATAATATTGTTTATATTGTCTAATAATTATAATTGTTATGAGATAGAAATGAAAACAGAATATAACTTACAATGAAAATATAAAAAATAAAAGGCTAAAATTATTGTTATGGTTGCAAATTGGAATAAGAATAATTATAATTATATAATAATATAAATTGGAAATAAAGTGCGATAATACAGATTTTGAAAGAAATTAAAAATTTGTCCAAACTGTGGTTCTGTTTATTTTATTTTATGTTGATATAAAATAATAAATTTATAGAATAAATGTAAAGTTATAAAATTTTAGCAACTAATAGTACAATTAAATGGAATGTTGTAATATTTATGTCAGGGCCCGTTAGGCGGACAGGGGATAACAACCCCCCCCCCAACTCCTCAACCATAGTGTATTATAATTAAATATAAATGGTTATTTTTTATATTTGATTTTTTTTTATTTCGTTACAATTTTTCTGTTGTATATAATATAATTTTATTTTTGTAGTTTTATTGTATTTATCGTATGAATGTGTCACACATAGCTTTAGTAATGTATGCTTTAAGTTTGACAGAATGTATTACTTCTTAATAAATAACAAAAACAAAAAATAAATTTAACATTAATTTTAGTTTTCCTGTATCTTGTTGTTTTTTTTCTAGATGAAGAATTAGGACATAATTCGAAACGTATACAACTAAAAAATATCATATGTATGTACATATTAGTTTGATTTTTTACTGCATCCTTTGGCTGACTTTTTAAAATAAAGTACTTTCAATTTTGTGAGCTACTGTTTGAAATATAGTTGCTCACGCGAAATATAGGTTTTTGATAATAATGAATGACACAGTTTAAATGTATTTATTTAAAATATTTGCGAAACAAGCATTTAAAAATATGTGATGTGATTCGTGAATATTAGTTGTTTGAAACTTCCTCCAGGTCCACTAGAGATTGTAAAGTCTAATCGCATGCAGATTCAGTAACACTTAAACAAAAAATATTTATTTTTATTACATTTCTAAATTCATTTTTACTATAGTTTTAGTAAACATTTATAATTAAAGGTCAATTACTGGAAATTTAAGATCAGTATTTGACAGGTTCTTTTTAATCCATTCATTAGCTGCCTTATTCATTTCATCTGTGAACTCAGTGTTACCACCAACTTTTCCTGAAAATAAGAAAACAAATTAAACAATAACAATAATTCTTGTTTATTTTGTCCAATGCACATATGGACTCTGAAATAATTCATAACTACAGCAAAATAGCTCATACACACATATACCATAGTTTTTAAAATGTTCGTAATTAAATAAATCTACACTCTATTCTTCTGGTAATAATTCTTAAAAACCTGTCAAATAAAATTGAATTGTATTATATATTGCTAATATATATTATATATCTATATAATAAAATAAACCACATATCCTGTATGAAAGAGATAAATCGAAATCGTCAACGTCCTTTATTAAAGTTCTGTGATCCCCATGAGCATTAAGTGAGGAAAAATAGATAAATTCCGTTAATATATCACCGTATACGAAATATCATATCTAACAATACTATAACTTTCGAGTTTTATATTTAATACCAACTACTATCCTGTACGGTTTTACAAACCGTTTTGTATATAATTGACAATCCTTTAAATTTATTTTAAATAAAATTTAGCAAATCTAATCCGGAAATACTTAGGTTACATAATCCGCAATTTATTATTATTAAGAGTGTTGTAATATCTATATTGTATGTTGTAATATCCACTCACACGAATTTCCTACCTATTTCAGAAAATTATTTATATCTTCACATATGTCCATCAAGAATCAAAAAAAAAAAATTGAATTAGATTTATTTTCCTGAAAATTGTTCAAAGAAAAGATTTGAGTATGATTTATTTGATAAACTAAAGCAATGTAAACCGGCTTAAGGTAGATCAGTGTAAAAATTTCAATATCCTCTAATATTGCTGATCAAACTTTTTGTGATTTTGTCAAACAATAATTTCTGTTAAAAGTAGCGGAAATAGTGAAGATTGTGTGATGCAGGCAACAGATTTTCTACTTTCACTTAGTTTTCTTTTTTCTCTCATTCAACCCTTTCTGACACCACGATAGGAAACCGTATTCTCAGGGGGCTCTGAAACGTATAGATCCGTCGTAGAAAACCGCATATCGGAAATTTGACCCGATCGCAATACTTTCTTTACATAGTATAGGTAGGAAAGTAATAAATTAAAACATGCGCAGAAATTAGAATAAACTATATCATCGCTAATACTGGTTCGATTCAAATGAAGCTTTTTTTTTTTTTGTCATCTTTGTTGGTAATTTAATTACTTTTTAAAAGTTTTATTATAAATTTTACCATAGAATATGTAATTAGCGAGTTAGGCCTCAAAAAAAATTTTTTTTTCTTTATAACTTTTTTTCCTGAATTTTGTCGGGAATTTAGTCCATGGACGAAAATTGAAACGAGAATTATTAAAACATTATCGGAAAGTTTCATCAAAATCGTTAGAGCCGTTTTCGCACTACAGTCTATAGAAAAAGCATGTTTTTAATTTATTCAGCAGCATCTATTGCGCATAGAGCAACCACTTTGTGTCATGGGCATCAGTAGTCATAATTATCACATTATTATAATTATAGTATTATTTCTTTTTACTTTCCTACCTATACTAGGTAAGGAAAGTATTGCTATCGGGTAAAATTTCCGATATGCGGTTTTCGAAGGATCTATACGTTTCAGATTCGCCTCAGTTCGAAAAACATCTTTATAGCCATTGGTCTATCTGTCTGTCTGTCTGTTCCAAGATTTTCTCGGGAACTAGAGAACCGATTTTGCAATAAAATAAAACTACAAATAAAATAAAAAAAATAAAGAAAGAAAGAAATAAAAAAAGAAGCAGCATAATCGGTTCTCTAGTTCCCGAGAAAATCTTGGAACAGACAGATAGACAGATAGACCAATGGCTATAAAGATGTTTTTCGAACTGAGACGAATCTGAAACGTATAGATCCTTCGAAAACCGCATATCGGAAATTTTACCCGATAGCAATACTTTCCTTACCTAGTATAGGTAGGAAAGTAAAAAGAAATAATACTATAATTATAATCATGTTTGTTATACTGATATAGACTATTTGTATGGGGTTCTTTCCTCAAAACAAATAAAGATTAAATAAAAATTAAAAATTAAATTTCCAAAGAGTTAGAGTTACCATTTGAGGATATTATGAAATTTTAGAATAGCTTTTAACATCGCTGTTAATAATAACAATGATCATTGTAATAAATAGGAATGGTAAAAATTCAATAAACGATATCTTATAATCGAAAAATGTTTTTTAAAATAAATGTGTAAAGTTCAAGAGATTTTTATAAAAATTTATAGGACTATTTTAGTAGACTTGTAATGATTCAACAAGAGTTGACCAAAAGATATGAGCGGAACAAAATAATTGCTAGTTGTACGAAGCCTGTATTTTCTTGCGTTGCCATGGCACCGTAAACTTTTAAGTGCCACCTTGATCAGATGGGTCAATGGAATGTGAGTAAAAAACAAAGAATAAATAATAAATACCGAAAGTATCTATGACGTAAGACATACTGATATTAAACAAAAAAGAATTGATGAATGAGACATCTTTGTTTATTGTTCATTGAAATAACTTGTTTGTTTTATAATGTCCTTAATTGTAAAAAAAAATGTAATATTACTTAACAAATAAATGTTAATTTAATTAAAATTTAAACATACCTGTTTTATACAGGTTATTTAAATTTAATATTTAAATTTAAATTTAAATTTAAACATATCGTAAACTATGTCAATTCAAATAAAATCATAAGAGCTAACGATCTATTCTAACAGAATATTGACGATGAAAAAAAAAAAATCTATTTCAGAAGAGTCGTGTGACAGTGATGAATACATCAACTATCTTCAATTATTTATGCAAACAGGTAATTAACAACAAAGCCTTAGTGGTGAACGGCCTTGAAGTCATGTGTTAGCTAGTTTGCAAAAATTAATTGATAATTAAGTAAAAATTAGCATACCGAAATGAAAAATTTCTTTTAAATCAGAATAAATTAAGTTATCTTCTATTAGTTATTCATTGATTACTTCATTATTGAACGATCAAATCGATACGAACCATAAGATGGTGGTAGGTCCACATTTATAGGTCATATTTCATACTAAGATTTGTCCTTATAAATTGACTCTTCATATCCTTAGTCCTGGTGAGAAAAATGCACGTCTACCAACATATAGCCGCTGGAATACAAAATGGCGACCATGTGAAAATAAAAGAGACCCTACATAGGTTGTAAGCATATATATAGAGAGAGAGAGGGCTTATAGAAATATAAAGCTACCAACTCTTTCAATTTATAGTATTTACAGTCTTAAGATATGAAATAAATTACAGTTACCCCGTTACCCCATATCCGTGGATTTCAAGTCGAAAAATTGAATTTACGATTCAAAAAGTTTAAGTTTTTCGATTATATCAGTGAAACTATGCGTTCTGTCTATAATAATGTGATATATAAAAATAACACTCGAAAGTTGCAATAGAAATTGTCATATTAGTTTTTTCGCTATATTCTATGGTTTCCGTCCTCATAATTCAGTAATGTCGAGAAAAAAAATTGTTTGCATGGAATTTTATCATTATTTGACTTGCTAACTCTTTATCTTTTCATTTTAAAAGTCATAAAGTAGAAAGTTGTTTAATATTTAATTTTCTTTAATAATATTCATTACTTTACTATCTTATCTTCAACCACTCAAAGGCTTGAGCAATTATAATATAATTATTAAACTCAAAACTACACAGTAAAACTTACTTTTCTAAATTTTCGATATTACACAGCTCTTAATCTGCATATAAGATAACATACATATGTATACATTGACTTACATAATATATTTTTCTCATCAAACCTGTGGATATAGTCAATTTATAAAGACAAAGCCTAGTATTAAATATGACGCCTTTTTTGCCAAGGGCTCTCCGACTATTAGAGTAATGACAGCAAAACTCTTAAGGACAGCTCTACCATAAAGATTCAAGTACACTTATAAAGACGTTAATGATCTATCTAGAGGAGAAAAAAAGATGTTGTGTAATGAGTAAGTATTGAGAGTAAATAGACGAAGATAAAAACAATTAGGTAATATTTTATATAAATATTTTTTTATAAATTATTTTTTAAATATCTACCTCTCCTCAGAAATCCCTGCTCTCCTGTATTTGCTGCGCCTATTATAGGTATATTTTCATGAACTGTAACGACTTTACGGAAATTGTCGATGTTCAAATGAGCACATAGTTTCTGGACGTCGTTCTCTGTGATATTTTTTCCAAGGAACTCTGCCGTCTTCTTTACAGAGTCAGACATGTTCTAAAAAGAAGAATTTGAGTTATAACAAAGACGTTATAAATAAAAATATATTAATTTTGTAAACAATATTTCATTTACTTCTCGTAAATGCCCATCAAGTTTTATAAATGAATTAAAAAAAAAAGAACCAATTTAATTATTATGAAATAGGGCTCTGTTTATTTTTTCACCATATTTATTCAGACTTTGGACAACATGCAAAAGGCATGGTTGAATAAAATGGCTTGAGGATGGCTTACCGGCCGAAACGTAGCTATGAAAATTAAAATAAATATGGTGAAAAAATGAACAGAGCTTATGGTCTCGTGATCTTCTTGTGTAAATTTATTATTTGAGTGCTATCAGTGCTCAACTTCTTTGCGTTCTTATTTCAGTGCTAGTTTCTCAACAAGCGATTTCATGTTATTATATTCCTGAGTGCACATTTACTAGTTGTATTTTCTTTTATAATACAGTTGTAAATATGAACGAATAAAAAAAAAAAAAAAAATATATATATATATATATATATATATATATATAATTAACTTATACAACAATGCTAAAAATGATATAAACTTACATATTATTCACCCAAGAAATAGGATTAGTTACAAAATTTTAAATTAGTTTTTTTTTTTTATAAACCTTAAGATGCCAAAAATACTACAAAAAAATACTTGATTAAACTAAGCTGAAGCCCCCACCCCACAAAAAATTGGTAAAATATAACCATGTTTTACAGAAAAAAATATTAAAAACTATCTCTTAAAGTATTCTTGTTCGTTTAATTACATTTAATAGGACTTCATATTTAATACATTTAATACCACTTCATATAGGTAGTTAATTTCTTTCTTTTTTTAAAATTAATTATCGTTATATGTATGGAAAAAAATGTAGTGCTCTCAAAGACCATTAGATTCTGCTCGTCAGTCTTCGAGATAGTCCATGTTTCTGAGCTATAAAGGAGTATCGGTCAGATAATGGTTTTATACAATAGGATTTTTGTTCCTCTGGTTAAACCACGGCTCCTAAAATATGGACTGATGTCAAAATAACATCGATTGGCGTATAGCACTGTTTGCTTAATTTCCGAATCCACAACATTATCATGAGTTATGAGGGATTCGAGATAAAAAAAATTCTGACACTTTTTCAATGGAGAATTCTTCGATGGTAATGCTTTCGTACGGTTTAGAAATTTCCTCAGTGACCATACATTTGGTTTTTGCAGCGTTGACTTTAAGACCTATTTTTCTTGCTGCTTCCAACAGTTTCTAGAACCCATAAGAGACTGTCTGGAAAGAGCGTCCAGCAATGTCGATATCTTTGCTGCATATCATAAGCAAGAACCCCACTTGAATACCAGAATCTCTAACTATTCTAACTATTAAACTATTCTAAAATTTAATTGCGAAACCTTGTCTATATATTATTAAGATATTTTTTGTAAACCCATTTGAAAACTTCATTGGATCGTAAATTTTACATAGCCATTAATTTTAATTTTTAAATATTACAAAACCTTATTAAATCAAATAATGTAGGTATATATTGAAGTAAAAGAATTACTAAAAAATTCATTAAATTTATTATTGTCTCAAGATCATTAAATTTGATCTTGAATAATATTTAACAAATACATAATAATATTAAGTAATAATGAAATGCCTTTACATAATGGACTTCTCTAAATCTAAATCAAAGAGGAGATAAGGTATACCAGTACATCCCCTTGCCTTAGTTCTTTTCCAGAAGTAAATTCTGCCGATCTTGCTCCTCCAACCTGTACCATGCATCTCACTTCTCTCATGTCGAGCCTTACCATTCTAATAAGCTTTTCAGGGATTCCGAGCTCTCTGATTGCCTCATAAAGCTGTTGCCTATCAAACCATCCATCTATCTGGTTATAGTCATTCCACGTGGGCTCTTCTTCTAGTGTTGTCCAAAACCGTTCTAGTGTTGGTCTTGCAAAGACCAAGACCAAGACTCCCTTACTGTTGCAAGACCAAGACCAAGACTCCCTTACTGTTGCAAGACCAAGACCAAGACTCCCTTACTGTTGCAAGACCTAGACCAAGACTCCCTTACTGTTGCAAGACCAAGACCAAGAATGGTAAAAAAAAATCGTTTTGTGAATAAAAACAGTTACTAATATTTGACAATTAGTCGCTATATGTAAAGAATTGGTATAAACAAAATACTTATGCATTTAACTCTTCCAATTTTTCATTTGGGCTTAGATAGGTTTCACCAACCTGAACAATTATAGTAATATCTCTATAGAAATAAGCTAATATGAAACTGCAAGGCTGATGCGAGTCTCTTGCGCAAGACCAAGACCAAGATGAAGACTGAGGGTGCAAGACCAAGACTTGTCTTGGTTTCGCATTTGGACAACACTACTAGACAGTATTCAATAACAATAATAATTGAGGCATTCATTGTTGAGTAAAACCTTGCTGAGACCTACATGCCCAACCCATCTTAACCCACTCGACTTCATATCATGAGATATTTACTAACTAGTTTCTGTAATCTTCTTCCTCCACACGTGCGTTAGGGCTCTGATGCTAGATCACTCCAGTTTAAATATCTATATTATGTATAATAAAATGAAATTAAATCAGTAAAAATAGTATATATATAATAAATAAAACTATATATAATACTTACATTAACGAGATCTTCATAAAACAAAAATAAAACGTTTTTCTTGTGCCTTGCTTCCCATCCTTCCTTTATGTGTTCCCAATATGGCGAGAAAACCACTGTTAGGAATAAAAAAATATAGAATTTTTTTTTAATCTTTAGAAATAGATAATTTTCAACTAACAATACTCACACAAATCATCCTGAAAATATTTCCAGTACTTGGGAAAGTCGCCTTGGTAGTCGTGGACCCTGAGCAGCCTATTATGGTGATAATATGAAACGGCGACATCTTTCGGATTCCTCGCGATGTAGATAACTTTGCACTTATCGCTGAGCTCTGGCGGCAGCAGCGAGAACGGTAAGTGGGTCTTGATGTGCCTCGGTGAGGTCAACTCCATCTCGTAGATCGGTTTCCTCCAGAAAGCCAATTTCTGGTTCACCACGGGATCGTTCTTGTTCAATTCTCTTAGTTCAGCATGAAACTTCTCTGTATGCAAAATAGTAAATCTGCACAAAAATTTAATCTTATTAGAGAATATTTAGAGTCCTATAACAAAAAGAAAAAAAAAAAGTATAAAACAGCAAAAACCGTGTTACATGTACTTAATAAACTATTCTTAATATTCCAACTCTGTATCTAAATGATAATCCCATCAAATTTTAACCTACCATCAGAAACCGTGAAGTGATTTTTTTAACATACTTTTTCTTGGAAAAACATGTATCGAATATCCAATATTTCTACCTTAAACCAAATAAATTACCACCATCGCCTATTTCCATTAGAAACACTGGCGGATCCAGGATTTAATTTTGGGGGGGGCTTCAGCACGAAAGCTTTTTTTCATAAAAATAAGTATAATTACTTTAGAAAAACAGAAAGAAACTAACTACATATATGAAATGGTATTTGAGTGATTCCTAAAGTCCTTTAAAATGTAATTACACGAACAATAATACTTTAAGAGGTATTATTAATTTTTTTTTTCCATAAAACATGGTTGTATTTTACCATTTTGGGGGGGGAGGCTTCAGCCCGAAAGCCCCCCCTGTAATTAGAAACCCATAGGCTTCTTATTACTTCCTTAATATCTGTTCAACTTTGACTTTTGCTGTACGATATATATAAGCAAACTCGAAAAAAAAAAAATATATATACCACTAAAACTCATGAAGGGTCTTGGATTCAGTACTATGTGAGGATGTACAGTTACAAGGCCAACGGTTGCGCAGGATGGTGATTGGGCCAAGATTACGCTCAACCGCCAGATTTTCCCTCTTAATTAATTACTTAATTAAGAGTACCCACTTTATAGAGGCTGGGTGTGCCCGAGGAGGGTCAATCCACAGCTGATGAAAAATTGCTTGTCATCAGTACTGGTTCCTTGAGAAGTCAGTGCTCACCCACTGAGCTACCGCGCTCCCAGACAGAAAAAAAAATTGATAAATTACTTTGTCTTATTGATCTTCGTGGTTCCCAAGGTCACGCATCTGTCTTCTTTTTTTAAGAAAAGTTGAAGAGGTTTGTCTTTGCTACCATCGTAAATTTCCTGGCATACTTCTATTTCCACGCCGTCTCTCGTACATCTCCGAATTCTATAAATTCAAATTTTCTCTTCAGCCACGCAAAACTCGTTCTCAATCTTAAAATTTATATGCAACGGGTCATCGAAACTATCCAATACCCCCTTTATCGACATTTCTGTCATACGAAAAGAGTATTATTCTATAGGTAAAACTTAACCTCTTCTAACGAGATTGGTACGGTCCAGATTTATTCCGTAAATGAAATAAATGGCAACCTGTCCAGACTGGATTCGAACTGGTGTCGTTAGACTTGATGTCGTATCCCATCGAACCCCAAGGAACTCCATTGCTTACTACATCCTCCATGCCGATACCCTTCCAATCTTTAAATCCCGCCTATTCAATCTATGACATTGCATACATAACATTAAATGATAGTTAATAGGAACTTGTTTGCAGATCATGGGTGTGCAGATTCGCCTGTTGAGTAATATTAATAAAAATATAACGCCCTAAACTAAATAAAAAAAGCTAACCAACTTCCTTTATAATGCAAAGTTTTGCTTAAATATAATTTTTTTACGCATATTTGGTAATTTCTAGGCTTTTCTTACATTTAAGGAAACTTTAAAATATTGATGATAATATAAGAAAAATATTTTCTGTCAACGACCTTCATTAATAGTAAAATATGTTTTTGTTGTTTATATAACTTGAAAGTTTTGCATAAGAATTTATTTTTAAATATTGACATATTCAAACAACGAACTTGTTTTTCACGGCTGAAATCGTGAACTATATTTTTTCATAATCGTCAGTTATTGGTTGTGGGTAAATAAAATTAAAATAATTTTGGTTCCAATAAAATCTTGGAGGTTCAAAGGGGTCAGAATGAAACGAGTTATTTTGTTGGATCAGTATATAAAAATAAACTTGTTCAACTGAGAAATTAAAGAAGTATTTTAGTATCATATTATTGATTATCTGAATAAATATCGGTGTGTGTAAGTAAATAATAAAAGGGAAGATTGAAGACTGAAGTATTTAGGAGAATTAAGAGGTCACCCAGATTTTCAGATTATTCTGCTTGAGATTTGGAATAAAGCAGCAAGAAAATATTGTACAATTATCGTAATTTGGTCTATATTTCTTAAAAGAGCTAAAGCAATGATGCGATTATAAAAGAGTTCCGGTTAATGGTTATTATCGAATAGTATTAAGTAATGAAATAGGAATGACCTTGTTCGCGGATAGGAATAGTTCACAACGATTTTGAATATATTCGATTAATTCTTAGTCCTTTATTTCAATAGAACCTGAAGAGTATGAATTTTTACAATTATCTTTTCTCATGATAAGCACTTTTGTATAGAAAATACGCTTTATTAACATTATACAATAAAACACTCCTATTATAATTATTTTTCAAAATTTTGGCCATCATTATCTGTTTCTTCATCTAGAAATTCCAGAAGTTAAATTTGTTGTGAATAGGAGTCGTTAGTTTTCTAATCCAAAAACTAATTACATCCAAATTTTACTTCCATTTTTCAAATTGCCGGTCTATAAAAAAATTCTTCGTTGAATCTAGTCAGACGGTGTAGCATGAGAGTTGTAACACTGGCAAAATGCTATAACTCTCCATTATTTTAGTTGACTATAGTAGTACTCTTTTCTGTTTTAAAACTCTAAATAATCTTTCGAGCTGTTCACATTTCAGCACAGCGTCTATAGATTTGTCCTATGGAAGCAGATCTAATGTAAGTATAGAAACATCCTGACAACGTCACCGAAGAAAAAGCGGAATTCATTTTTTTTTTTTTGCTGGTAATCATTTGCTTGGTCCTCTTGACAAAGTGCGATATTCTCTGTTGACAGTATTAAAAATATATAATTTTCATCGCTCTCTTATTATTATTAGTATAGGCCAGGGATCTCCAAACTTTTTGGGTCGAGGGCCACATTCAGACCTCAACGAAGTTATTGATGAGACTTTAGTTGTGAAATGAATTGGTTCTAAGAGAAACATCTCATTCAATAAATGTTGTAGTGAGCTTGTCTTTGAGTGGTTTACTAAATTTCATATTTTTTTAAAGTTTACCATGTAATTAAAGAAACTTTCTTGGACCGGATCAGAGGTGCTCGGGACGGGATATGGCCCTCGTGCCCTACTTTGGAGACCCCTGATATAGAGGATGACTGCAGAGGATAATAATTGGACAATGGAGAAGCCGAACAAGAGGCCAAGGCCCTACAAGGGCTGTAGAGCCACGGAAATAATAATTGAGAGAAAGTTACAACAAATTTATTTTCTTTAGTACAGAAAATTCCAACAACGCCTTAGTTAATCTATCATTTTGAATTTATGAACAACCAATATCAAGTTGGTTTTTCACTTACATAGCGAAAACTTTTGTTATCGAGAGACCATAAGAGACAAAAATTTTATTGTTTTTCAATTTATTTTCCATTAAATTTGTCACTGCGTTGTAACGCACCAAACAAATGTGTTGGAGTTTATTGTATCTTCTTGTATTCTTGATATTTTCAGCAGAAGATCTCTAGGCCACAACCTTTTTAGTCGTCGTTGAGGCTCACCAGGTAACAGGGAGCAAGATAGAGATAGAACGAGTAGATTTGGATGATTGAGTGTAGAAGAATGAAATGTTGTGTACGCAGGATCTTACTTTTGTTATGTTCATGTCTGTGTTTATGGTGTGATTTGAAATATATTGGTTTTTAAATAAAACTTTCATTTAAATAAAATAAAATTTAAATTAAAAACAACTGTCTGCATTTTAAGTCAGGAAAGTTTTTTTCTACGATCTACCGATAAGCCGTTAGAGTGTTGTAAACGGAGGCCAAATTCCCAAAAGTGGCTTAGACGCCATTTATGGGCGCTTTGTGTCTGATTTCCATGGAAACTGCCAATGCTACGCTTCTTTTGACCATAGATGCTGTTAAACTTTATAAAATACACATGAACATACGAAAAGAACATTCCTTTCAGATATATTAATTACTATAGGTACCACTACTGTATTTAAATAATTGTGAGAAAGTTTCTGCAAATTTATTTCCTTTATTATAGAAAATTCCAACAACGTCTTAGTAAATCAATGATTTCGAATGTATCGACCACCAATCCATTGTTTCATCTCGTAGTTATAATAGAGCATATTCACACCACATTTACAGAAAATTAAAAAGATAAATTTAAAAAAAATTAAATCATCGAAAAATATATAAACGTATATCACTAAACAATTGGATCTTGAGATGGCAAAATAACAAGATGTGCTTAAGTGTGGATTTAATGAAACTGGATTCTATGTCACGTGGGGCAGGTGCTGATGAGTCATCGAATGGCGCTGTACGCAGTTTATCTGCATTGACTTTCTTTATTCAACTGATTCACTTGATACAGCAAAACATTTTATTCAATAAAAGATGGACAGTAGCCATTTTATGAATCGGTAGGTCAGTTGTTTGTATACTTCAACGAATTATTCATATACTCTAAATATAAATTATCTATACCTTAATGTAATCGAATCCATGGGATTCTGATGGAGAAAGGAAATAATAAAAATAGAAACAGTTAAAAATTATCATACTCAAAAAATGGAAATCGCTTCTCCATCGCTATATTGACAGCTGCGTCGAAATCCAAATTGTTGTTTAAAAGCCATACAAGCTCTTGGCATAGAGTCGTTCCTAAAAAGAAATACAAATTACCATCTATGATTAGTTTAATAATACATTTGTCCATCATTTGAACTAGACGTACCTGAACGCGGAAACGTCATAAGCCATATATCATCACTTCTTACATCGTATGAATAAAATTTCTCTGCGTGATCGGCGTAAGATGCCGGAAGGAGCCATTTCTTCGGTCCTACTTGCACGAATCCTGTTCGTTCGCCTTTAAAATCGTTCATCAGTTGTCTGTTCAAGGCATCTTCCACAGGTACAATTTCATAAGGGAACATCCTTGTTGCTTAATGTATCTATAATGATATAAGTAATTAGGACTATAATTAAAATTATCATTATAAATCATGAACTCGTTACTTCTAAATTAAAATTAAGAATGGGACTTCAACATTAGGCAATAATGGTATATCATCATGGAGAAGATAGGGAAATCCCAAAACTTGAAAATTTTGAGAATCTACTTCACAAGGCAAAAATCGTTATAAAACATTTTACTCGAAGAATTCCGATAATCTAAAAAAATTCTAATCCATTTTAAGTTTAAGGTGCATACAGACATACACCATCACATCATGGCGTGACATCTGTCCATCACGCGATGGTGACTGGACTTCCCTCAAGTGGGTATGTAGCTTTTTAATAAAGGGGGGGAGGGTGAAAGCAAGGCACAAATTTTTTGTCGAAAGTTTATGATGAAACAAGATGAAATTTACTTTAAATGAACATAAGTTTATCATTGTTAAATCATTTATAGAGGACTTTTGAACGGCTAAACCAAACTAAGTTATGTTTTTAAAAAAATCATAAATTATTCGAGTTTTTTTTTTTTTTTTTTTTTTTTTTTTTTTTTTTTTTTTTTTTTTTTTTTTTTTTTTTTTTTATCATCATCCAACTATACTACTGTTAACCCACTTCTTCGTTTAATATTCTTCATACCCGTATTAATTAAGTTGAGATTTATTGGTGAAAAACTTGAAATTAAGCTCAAATTATTTTTAAAAATGATATTTCTTATCCTGTCAAGTAAAAGTACCCGTTTTCAGCTAAAATTATAATAAACTCAATTGGCTAAACCCACATTTTATTTATTAAAAAACTTACTTTGAAAAATACTGATTTTACAATTTTTTTGGGGGTTAAATGGGTTATAAACTGTGTTTTTCACCCAGATCTCTATTATAGGAATTTATCCGTATTTATAAATAACAAAATAAAAGTTTCTATTCCTAAAATTTACGTTACCCCTGGTTTATTGAATTATGTATTGTAGTGGGTTTCCTATGTTTCTTGTAATCTGATCCAGTAGGGGGCTTAAGGCTCATTTTGTTTTTCCCTTTCCAAGCTAATATGAGATTACTAATTTTCTATTTGCTCTCAACCCCCTTCGTTTGTGATTATTTAGCAATTTCGACCCAGGAATTATATATTTTATTATAATACCTAGGATGTTTTGTACATTATAAAATCTCATTCCAATGATAGGAATCAATAAATTGCAGAGTAACTGCTTCAGTTCACTCCATGTGAACTAAGGAAATGTTGCAGTTCTGTTGCCAGGAGATATGCTGCTTGATAAGGTGTTTGGATATAAGGCGGGAGATCCAGAATTTAATTTTGGGAGTACATTTTTTTTATTTTTTTTATTTTTTTATTACTCTTGGAAAATAAAATGAAAAACACCTGTAAAAAAACTATGTTTAACTTGTCCTTGAAGAAAAAAAAAAATAATACTTTTAGAGATAAATTTTTTTCTTGTTACGTGATTATATTTTGAAGCTGTATATGCATTATTATTATATAAAAAATAATATGATTCTCCCTGCAACACTTAAGGAGACAGCCCTGATGAAGGCCTGAACTTCAGGTCGAAACGTCGGCATATGTAAAAATAAATATTATCATTTATTTTTGCCTTCCTTTTTGACTGACCACCCCAACTATTCTTCTCTTCATTATCCACGACAGTCAACCAATTACCAATTATACATAAAAAATGAATGTATTTTGATTGTTGAAATATCGAATGATATATTTTTTTTAATTTGGGAGGCCTTTAACTGCTAAGCCCTCAGATAGATTCAACAGTGCACAAGATGGCTTTGATTTAATATATAATTATTATCACCAAGTGTCATAATAATTCGCAATAGTTAAGTGGAAAAAATTTGGTAAATATAAAAATATTTCTTTATCATATAAACACTATTTTTTCTAAATTGATGTTCTGGAAAATTTTGTTCCAACTAGTATTGAGACTTTTGCCAAACCTCACATTATTTAAATAAAACAAAACATATCTTGTTGTATTTTTTTGTAAAAAAGCTGTAACCATTGCAAAAAAAAAAGAAAGTAGTACTCACAAGGAAGGATTAGACTGATGTAGGGTTTTTCCAGGTTTAATCTGTCTCTGAGAAGAGATTTAATTTGAGATTTCAGATAAAGGAATAATGAGGGGAAAAATGTATAATGGTAAATTGTAATAATATGAACCAAAAACATCCAGACATCATATCCTACTATATAATGTTGTAAGTTCATGTCAAAATTAATTGCTTGAAAACCGTTTTGATACCCTTTTACTTATTTATTATTATTCTCACATTAAAAAAAAAAATTAAAACATAAATTTCATAAAATCCAAGTATATAATTTTGAATAAAAAGAAAATGTAAATTTAAGCAATATTTTTAATTTTAAAAGATGTTTTTAATGTTTAGTGGAATTATGAATAGTTTACAATCCAAAAAATTATTATAAGCAGTATATCCCAATAGTTAATGCTGCATCCTTTCTCATTTATCTAATAAAGACAACATAAACAATTATAATTTTTCTTCCTGTGATAATAATTCAATGACAATTATTCTTCCTACTATCACTAATTGTATTATAAGTGAAAATGACATGTTTTTATGATTTCTTAGATTCTTTATGGTTAAACTAATTTATTTTAAAATGATAGACAGGAGATGGCTGTGTCTCCAATTAGTTTATCTTCATTTATTAATTGTTTATATATTATAATGTATACCTTTATTGGAAGTGAGTAAAAAGGGTTTAATAAATTAATGTTGAACAATTGAAAGGCAAGCTAATCTAATTCTACTAGTGCAGGGAAAAGAAAATGGCTGCTCTGTAGTTTCCCAAAAAGGAAAATCCCAGAGGAGAGCGACAAACGTTTTGGTTTTGGCAAAGAGTTGATGTTTGGCTGGAATGAAGAGAGGATAGGAGAAGGGACCTGGCTCAAGTGGGTAAAACCCAGCAATAGTATTACCATTTTGGAAGTTGTGTTTGGCAGAACATTGGAAAGCATTTGAAGGCAAATGAATTTAGTGCAACAAAGGAAGAAACAGTGTATATAGAAAAAAGGTTAGCTTGCCGATTCATACTTAACTTCATTTTAAAATCAGTGTGTAATTTCATTGTAAATAATAATAGTTTGTCCGAGTTGATCTGATTGTCAGTAACCCACACCTGAGATAAATAAATATATTAATACTCTTATAATTTTGTTTATTATTATAACAACATCTTATTTCTTTAAGAAGTATCCCAAAAGTATAAAGTGATCTTCTGAGGTATTATTATTATTTGTAAAATGTTATGTAAGAAATGTTACGATTTATATATATATATATATATATATATATATATATATATATATTATATATATATATATATATATATATATATATATATTATATATATATATATAAAATCTTGTTTAGTGATACCTGTTGATCGACTATAAACCTCTTTTGCTTTAAACCAAAATCTATATTAATAACAATTTCAGATTAAATTACACCTTAAATCTTAAGTAGGTAGGTATACCTATAAAATAAAATCAGTTTTTATAGTCTTTAATACAATGAAACACAACAACAAACAATTAATAATTTGATCTAATTGAAAACTGTATCATAATAGTTATTTTTTTATAACATCATGTGTTGTCTGTATAAATTAACTGATTAACTTAAAGACGGAGATTCCGTTGAACCTGAAGATTCTGTGCACACACACACAATCTGTTTTGTTTATTTGTTGTTGTTCTTTCCTCTTAAATTTATTTATTTGTTGAATAGTTCTCCATTTGTGTTAAAGATTTTTATTTCAGTTATTGTGATTTAAGAATTACAGACCGACTGCTCCAACACTTACTAGACAAATGCTCTAAACTTCCAATTAATTACAAAAGATTCATCTACTTAACCATAATAAGTAGACCTTTATAAACCTTTATAGACATATGGAGTTGAGCTTTGAAACCCTCTCTACCAAACCACTGAATTCCTATCGTATCCAATCCTTACAATCCAAAATCCTTCGTAAAATCCTAAATGACCTATATTTTGTCACAAATAAAATCACTCATAAAGTCCTTAGTGTTACATATGCCGCTGATTTAGCCCGAGTCAGATACCTATCCTTTCATGATAAATTCCATTCCCATCCGAATCCACTTGTTTCCAGCCTTGCTTCTTCCTCGATTCCTGGCTCTTGATCTTCTCACCTAGAATTAAATAGGGAGTGCTTCCACTGGACAGTATCTCTTCAAGTCTGTTCATGTCATTATTTCTAATGTGTGTTTCATTATTTCTAATTTTTACTAGTTGTATTGTTTATACAGTAGTGAATTTCATTAAATAAATTAAAAAATCTAATTACAGATTAATTTTACAGGACTTATAGTATTTCTAACTGCATATATTTTCAATATATGATTAAAGAAATACAGCTTTCCTTGAAAAGTAGACGGATTAAGGTAACAAAAAATATTAAATGCAAAAACTCAAAGATAAAGTTATTATATTCACCAAGCATTCAGGAACGTACAATATTGGTTAAGCTTTAACATTGTGATTTTTTTTCTCTTTTAAATAGTGAATAGAATAAAAACAAGAAAGGCCAATGACCAGTGATAAGATAACGCACGTTTATTGACTAACAGTGAAAATAGTTACTGAACCATGTCTTTGCACTTGGCTTTACCATCACTACTTTTTATTAAATTAAAAATCACACATAAAAATGAAAATATATTGGTTTTGCATGAATGTCTACTCATTATTATAGATACAAACAGATATATTTATAATCATAGGTTATTAAAGTTCCAATAAACAATGAAAAATATTTAGCATTTAACAAACATTCAATTAACTCAGTTATTAAATATTTACTTTAGCATTGAAAATATTTTGCAAATATGCTCAATTATTTTCCTTCAATTTTATATAACAGTACTTAATAATGATATAACAAGAAACAATATAAATAAAAAATAAAT